ATCTCAAGATGGAGGGCAATGACAAGTGGGTAAATCCACTTCATAATGCCCTCATACTCACGCACACGGCCCCAAGCACGCAGTGGGGTTTTCGATAGCATTTACCTTGCAAGGCATTAGTCACTAGTCTCATCATATAAACTTCGGAAGGGGGTGCCACCCTCCCATTCGATTTTCACCTAACCCCATCCTATCATTCAGCAAGTTAAGAAACATTTCTTGCTTCACTTTTCTTAGTGTAAGAATATCCACTACCAATGAGTGCCCCATCACGTTGCCGCTAGTATCAGTATAATAGTATCCACTACCAATGGTTCTCCGATCGTGTAGCGGCCAATATCACAATACCTTAATAGAATAGTGCCCACTACCAATGGGTGTCCCATTGCGTAGTGGTCATTATCGTGGCATCATAACTTGCTCAAGAATTAAATTCATTCATGCTAAATTAGTACCTCATGACAGATAATTAAAATTTTCATCATGCACAATATGAGTCTTACTCAGAACTATCCAGCAGTCACATAATATTATGACACCCAGCAAAGAATACCAATGTTATGAGAGCTATCATTATCGCATTACGCCTAGCAAACAACATTAGTATTATGACACTCATCATGTAGGGTTTGTCATGGAATTATCACAGTAGTATGGCATTATCAATTTTCACATAACGCATAGCTGCCTAGCACTGTTGACATAACACTATGGCATTTAGTATTCATCACATGAAAACAATCACTCCGGTCGCGAACGTCGCTCATGTAGCAATGTCATGCCTAGTGCTACACGAAGGCGTTACGCACATGGCGTTACATGCCCGGTGTTACACGCACGGTGTTATGCTCTCGGTGCTACATGCGTGGCGTTAAATGCACGATGCTACGCGCTTGTCACTATGCGTGGTGTTACATGCACGGTGCTACGCGCTTGGCACTACGTGCACAGCGTTACACACACGAAACAAAATGAGTAATAGTATTAGGAGATCTTGCAACTAGGAATAGTGGCATACCATCACATTTCGGGGCCCATCTCATAACTCATACAGAATTTTATCCAGGTGCAAAAGCAAACTTGAAATAGACAAGCATATCTTTCATTCGAAACTTGTTTGGCCTCATTTGGACACCATTTGACTACTGGAAACTCGATGTACGAACTTTCACAGTTTTGAAAATTCTCATTATCAAGTTTAACATGCTTTAAAGAACACTTAACATTTCGCCAAGATAACTCTCGATGCAAAATCTTGCCCATATTAAACTAGTCTCACAAGTGAACTATTTCACAAATCTTCACGATTACAAATATCATTTACATTGCTCAATCAATCATGGAATTTAAAGGCATAAATCTAAAACTTAAATCCCATTTCAACCCATTCACGCTCATAGTTTTAATCTTATCATTTTACTTGCTTTCAATACTAAAAAAAAAAATTGGTTGCAATAAAAGTTATTGATGCATAGATACTAAACCCACTTACCTGATGTTCACAGCGTCTTCAAATCTCCCACTCGTAGGCCACCTCAAGGTCTAAGCAATGGCTTCTTCAAGGTAGTAGTTAACTCCCACTAGTTCTAGAGAGAGAAAGTGTAAGGGAAAAGTGAGCGGAATGGTGGAAAAAGGGGAGGGGAGAGGGCATAAGTACCCAAGGTAGGTGATGGTAACTGTAGCTGACGTGTACAGCTCTGACAGATGTGGTGCTGACATATACAACACTGAAAAGTGCAATGCTAACAGAGGGCACATCTTCCCTCTTCACTTACGGCGTTAACTCTTCTCTGCCTTCACCCGTGGCGATACCCCAGTTCACAAGTGGTGATGCTCCAGTTCATGCGCGACGTTACCTTTGTACGAGCACGACGTTGCTCTTCCTCCCCTCTCTCTTCACACGCGGCACTAGGCCTCTCCTACACACACGACGCTCTAGGCCTCTCCTACACACACGACACTAGGCCTCTCTTACATGCACGACGCTAGGCCTCTCCAACACATTAATTCCATGAGGGGTCTCGAGACTGGGAAAATTTGTGGTCCCCACATCAGGCCCCCCTTAAAAAAGACTTTGTCCTCAAAATCATATCATTATTAGTAAAAATGGTGGGGGTACTTCTCCCATATCTCTTCCTCTCGTTTTCATGTAGATTCTTCTCTCGAATGATATTTTCATTTTACTCGGACAAGAGGGACTTCTTTACTTGCAAAACCTGTACCCTCCTGTCTAATATCCCAATTGGTCATTCATCATAAGTCAAGTCTTCTCTGAGCAGGATCAGTTCGTACTTCATAACATGAGACGGGTCAGGCTGATATTTTCTTAGCAGTGATACATGAAATATTATGAATGTTGGCCAATTCAGGTGGCAAGGCAAGCAGGTATGCCATGTTCCCAACTCTTTACATGATTTCAAAAGGCTCAATGTAGCACGGGGCTCAATTTTCCTTTCCCGTCAAATCTCATTATGCCCTTTCTCGATGATACCTTCAGGAAGACCTGATCACCTACTTTAAACTTGAGGTCTCTCCTGCGATTATCGGTGTAACTCATCTGCCAACTTTGGGCTGCCCTGGGCCGCTCTCAAATTAAGGCAATTTTCTTAGAGGTCATTTGAACAATTTTAAGCCCCATTAATTACCTTTTGCCCTCTCCATTCCAATAGATGAGTGACCTACACTTTCTTCTATATAAGGCCTCATAAGGCACCATTTGGGTACTGGCTTGGAAGCTGTTTTTTTAGGCAAATTCTATTAGAGGCAAATCGTCTTCCCAGCCTCCCATAAAGTCACTGACACACTCCCTTAACATGTCTTTCAAAATTTCGAATGGTTCTCTATGACTACCCATCTGTCTAGGGGTGAAAGACGATGCTAAAGGTAAGTCTAGTTCCCAAGGTTTTCTGTAGACTTGCCCAAAACCTCGAGGTAAACCTAGTGTCCCTATCAGACATGATGCTGATAGGTATATCATGTAACCTTACAATTTCTCTGATGTATAATCGGGCCAGCTTATCTAGGGTTTAGGTCGTGTGGATTGGTAAGAAGTGAGCAGCTTTATTTTATTGGTCCACCACGACCCAAATACTATCATGCCCCATGCTCGACCTTGAAAATGCATAAACAAATTCTATCGTGATGTGTTCCTATTTCCACTCTGGTATGGGCAATGGCTGTAACAGCCCGGCAGGTTTCTGATGTTCTGCCTTGACTTGCTAACACCTCAAGCACTTAGCAACAAATTGTGCTACCTCCCCATTCATGTTGTTCCATCACAAGATCTTTTCAGATCTTGGTACATCTTTGTACTTCCTGGGTGTACCGTGTAGCTAGAGTGGTGTGCTTCCTCCAGAACAGCTCTTTTTACACTTTAGTCATTAGGAACACATACTCGGCCTTTAAACCTTAACAATTCATCATTGCTCATAGTGAAATCCTCTTTCTCTTCCAATTTTATATCCTCAAGGATTTTCATAAGTTGAGGATCTTCTTTTTGTGCTATTCGGATTTGTTGAAAGAGATAGGGCTCTATTCTCATACACAAAAGCATTTCAACCCCATCATTGAGGGGTAGAGTTGGATGTTGTTCCATTGCATCCTCTAGTAATCCCATTTCTCGTACCATCAGGTGTGCCACTGATATTATGAATTTTTGGCTTAAAGCATCGGCTACAGCATTAGTCTTGCCTGGATGGTAATCAATTGTATAGCCATAATCATTTAATAAGTCCATCCACTTCTTTGCCTCATATTCAATTCCTTTTGGAAAAATAGACACTTGAGGCTCTTATGATCCCTAAACACCTTATTGGGCCCTATAGAGGTAGTGTCTCCAAATCTTCAGCGCAAATACTACGACGGTAAGCTCCAATTCATGAGTTGGATAATTCTGCTTGTGCGACTTCAGCTGTCTGGAGGCATAGGCAATGACCTTACCTCTTTGCATGAGTACACATCCGAGCCCTTTATGTGAAGCATCGGTGTAAACCACAAAGTCCTCATTTCCATTAGGCAAGGTCAGTATCGGGGTTGTGGTTAGTCTTTTCTTAAGTTCCTGGAAGCTTCTCTCACAGTCCTCTGACCTCCCAAATCTTACATTCTTCTAAGTTAGCCGAGTAAGGGGAAGTGCTATCTTTGAGAATCCCTCTACAAAGCACCACAGAAAACTACGAACTTTGGTCACATTGGTTAGTCTCTCCCACATAAGCACAACTTCAATCTTAAAGGGATCGACTGTGATCTCATCCTTAGAAATGATGTGACCCAGGAAGGTTACATTGGGGAGATAGAACTCACTCTTGCTAAATTTAGAATATAGTCTTTATGACTTCAAAGTTTGCAAGACAATTCTCATATGTTGTTCATGTAGTTCTCGACTCTCTGAATATATCAAGATATCATCAATAAAGACCACTACAACATCATCTAGGAATGGTCTTAACACCCTATTCATAACATCCATGAGCATATCGGGGGCATTTGTTAACCCGAACGGCATCACAAGAAACTCATAGTGACCGTATCGAGTTCTAAAAGCGACCTTCAGGATGTCTCGCTCCTTGACTCATAATTGGTGATAACCCGACTGAAGATCAATCTTCGAAAACACCTAGGCCCCTTAGAGCTGATAAAAAAGATCATCAATTCAAGGAAGGGGATATCTATTCTTCACATTACTTGGTTCAACTGCCTATAGTCAATACACAACCTCAGGGACCCATCCTCCTTCTTCACAAACAGGACTGGTGCACCCAGGGTGACACGTTGGGTGGGATGAATCCCTTTTCCATCAATTCTTTCAACTTCTTCAACTCTGCTGGAGCCCTTCTATACAGAGATTTAGGAATGGGAATAGTTTCAGGGACTACATCTATCTCAAATCAATCTCCCGTACTAAAGGTAGGGACAATAATTCTTCTGGAAATACTCAAGATATTCTCTTACTATTTGTATCCCTTCTAGCTGGGACTAAACATCCCGATTCTCTACTACATGGGCTAGCTATTAGCCAGGAGGCGAGAGGCCCAAAGAGCAGAAATAAAGTGTAGAGGGAGAGTATCCCTAGTGCCCTCGAAGTGTAGCTCAATTTGACCAGAGCGTTTAAAGGTCACCATCTTTTCATGGCAATTGACGGTGGCATGGTGCTTATACAACCAATCCATGCCCAGAATAACATCAAAATCCTGAATATCTAGAATGATCAAGTTCACAGGCAGGTCACACCCATCAATTGTAATTCCACACTGTCTATAAATCCTATCAGTTTCCATAGAATCCCCCACAGACATGCACACTACTAGAGTAAAATCAAGACATGCAAACTCAAAACTTAAATAGCACGTAAAACGGGGTGCGATAAAAGAGTGAGAGGAACCAGGGTCAATTAAGACTCTAGCTTTAGCACCACAACTAGAGATCGTACCTCTAATCACTGAGGTGGATGCCTTAGCTTCTTGTTCGGTGAGGGAAAGCACTCGTCCTTGCGTCTTTAATCGATCCTTTATCTTCATCATAGGGTAATCCTTAACCCAATGGTCGGGCTTGTCACACCTGAGGCACACATTCCGCTTCTTATAACATTCGACGAAAGTGTGGTTGTCCTTCCAGCAATGAGAATAGACCGGGCGTCGATCATTCTCCATGTTGCTCTAGAAATTCATCTAGGCCCTCTGATTACGATGGTAAGGTCTTCCCCTAATATGCCTCCTTGGAAATTGTCGGGGCTTCTTCCCAAAGTTTTCCGATGAAACAGGCTTCATCTTTCCTTCCCTCCTTGTTCTATGGTCCTCGCAGTCGCTCTCAATCTTTAGGGCGAGGTCTACCAATGGGGCGTAGACCTTCAGGTTGGCCAACATTACTCTCCCTTTGATATCGAGCGGAAACTCTCAAATTTGGCCACCTTTCGTGCCTCAGTATTAATAATGTGAGGCGCATACTTAGACAGTTCCACAAATTTAGCACAATATTGTTCAACTGTCATACTCCCTTGCTAGAGTTCAATAAACTCTATTTCTTTCCTCTCCCTGACAGAGTCTAGGAAGTATTTCTCGTCAAACACCGTCAGGAAGTTTTCCCATGTGGCCTCTGTTTCTGACTCCCTCCAAAATTGCTTAACCGAGTCCCACCAATGTTACGCCCCTCCTTCCGACATGAAGGCTCCTAACTTGACTTTTTGCACATCTGAGTAGTGAAACACTTCCAAGATCTTCTCTATTTCCCTCTTTCACCTCTCAGATTTCTCCACCCCTCTACCCCTAAGAAGGTTGGGGCTGTCAGTCTTCTGAATCTTTCTATCAGGCAACTATCATTTTGCTCTGGGGTAGGCATAGACTGGACTGGCATCAACTCCTTCATCATTTGGGTAATTACCACCAAAGTCCTATAAAACTCACCGAGCATCTCAGTGCTCTCATTGCTGAAACTCGCATTGTTGGCACGAGCCCTTGGCGTCTTGAACTTAGCACAGGAGCACCCAGTCACTAATCTATCCTAAAACTATTTTAAGGACTCTACTACAATCCCCCGAGGCCAAGGATTCTATCTTGGCTGCTCTGATACCAAAACTGTCTCGACCCCACCCCCGATCCCTTTACCGTACGTGACGGAGGATGACCGGGTGCGGGTTTGCGATCTTGATGTAGTGTATTTGACTAAGGTCGAAGTGGACTCAACACCTTTATCTCTGCAATCAAAGAAAACCATGAAATGAACTAAAATAGTAATTCTAAGTACATATGAATATTTAAAAGAATACAAACATCATTAAATAGGCATTACATAAAATTCTTTCCAAAAATATTACACTTGAGTCTGAGGCATTAGGTCCCATAGATACATTTTCCAAAAAAAAAAAATTCAGGGGCAAACCGCCCAACTACATACAAGATCTAAGTCTTTCCTCAAGGACTTCAACTCCAAACTGCAAAACACGAGCTTCTTGCCCTACAAGAGGGGATATACAGTGGGATGAGCTATTAAGCCCAGTAAGTAGATCTAAGTACTATGCATAATTATCGAGTCTATTCATGCATCATAAACAATTCTTCCAACTATACGAAGTCATAATATAGTAGTTAGGTAAATCAAAAATTAGATCATTGCATCAATTACAGGCATCCCATTCATATGTCAGTTATCATCCAGTCATTTAAATCATCAGCATTCCCATTCACTATTCAATCATTACCCACTCACTCATTAGTTCACGTACTCCCGAAGTAGAGGCCCTATCCATCAGGCTAAGCCAATCCATTGCTTAGGACCTCTACCATATCTTAGGAGGGAGGGCAATGACAAGTGGGTAAATCCACTTTGTAATGCCCTCATACTCACGTACATGATCCCCAACGAGCATTGGCGTTTTCGATAGGCACTTACCTTGTAAGGCATCACTCACTAGCCTCATCATATAAATTTTGGGGGGGGTGCGACCCTCCCATTCCATTTTCATCTAACCTCATCCTATCATTCAATAAGTTGGGGAACAATGACGGCTTCAATTTTCTTAGTGTAACAGTATCCATTACTAATGGGTGCCCCATCGCGTAGCGGCTAGTATCAGAAGAATAGTATCTACTACCGATGGGTGTCCTTTCACATAGCGGCCAGTATCACAATACTATAATAGAACAATACCCACTAGCAATGGGTGCCCCATTGCGTAGTGGTCATTATCACGACATCATAACATGCTCAAGCATTAAACTCATTCATGCTAACTTAGTACCTCATGACAGTTAATTCAAATTTTCATCAAGCATAGTTTGAGTCTTACTCGGAACAATCCAGCACTGACATAGTATTATGACACCTAGCATAGAATACCCATGGTATGAGAGCAATCATTATCGCATTGCTCCTAGCAAACAACATTAGTATTACGACACTCATCATGTAGCATTTGTCATGGAATTATCATAGTAGCATGGCATTATCAATTTTCACATAACGCATAGGTGCTTGGCACTGTTCACATAACACTATGGCATTTAGTATTCATCATGTGGAAGCTATCACTCTAGTCACGAACGTCGCTCAGCTAGCAGTGTCATGCCCAGCGCTACATGCACGGCCTTACATGCTCGGCGTTACACAAACAGCGCTATGTGCCCAGTGTTAAACGCATGGCGCTATGTGCACGTTACCACGCGCACGGCACTAAGCGCACGACACTACGCGTGCGGCGTTGCAAGCACGGCCCAAAGTGAGTAATACTATTAGAAGTTCCTGCAACTAGGAACAGTGGCATACGCTCACATTTTGGTGCCCATCTCATAACTCATACAGAATTTTATCAAGGTGTAAAAGGAAAACTTGAAATAGACAAGCATATCTTTCATTTGAAACCTGTTTGGCTCCATTTGGACACCACTTGACCACTGGAAACTCTATGCAAGTACAGTCACAGTTATAGAAATTCTCAATCTCAAGTTTAACATGATTTAAAGAACACTTGGACATTTCACCAAGATAACTCTTAATGCAAAACCTTGTTGATATTAAACTAGTCTCAATGTGAACTATTTCACAAATCTTCATGATTACAATTATCATGTACATTGCTCAATCAATCATGGTATTTAAAGGCATAAATCTGAAATTTAAATCTCATTTCAACCCATTCAAGCTCATAGTTTTTATCTTATCATTTTACCCGCTTTCAATAAGAAAAAAAAAATGGTTTCTATAAAAGTTATTGATGCATAATATTAAACCCACTTAACCGGTGTTCACAGTGTCTTCAAATCTCCCATTCGCAGGCCATCTCAAGCTCTAAGCAATGGCTTCTCCAAGGCAGTAGTTAACTCTCACTGGTTCTAGAGAGAGAAAGTGCATGGAAAAAAGTTAAGGGAACGGTGTTAAAAGGGGAGGGGAGAGGGCTTAAGGACCCAGGGTAGGTGAAGGTCACTATAGCTGATGTGTACGGCTCTGACAGGTGCAGCGCTAACACATACGGCACTGACAAGTGCAGCACTAGCAGCGGTCACATATTCCCTCTTCACTTACGGTGTTAACTCTTCTCTCCCTTCATGGGTGGTGATAACCAAGTTCATGAGCGGCGATGCTCCAGTTCATGCACGGTGTTACCTTTTTACATGCACGGCGTTGCCCTTCCTCCCCTCTCTCCACTCACGGGGTGCTAGACCTCTCCTACACACATGGCGCTAGGCCTCTCTTACATACACGGCGCTAAGCCTCACTTACACACATGGCTCTAAGCCTCTCCTACACATTATTGTCGTGCGTGTCTAGCGACTGGGTAAATTTTTTGTCCTTACATACATGGTCTATGCTAACAAAAGACCATTCCCCATTGCTGAGACTCATTACGCCGATGCAAAGTGCTACTTTTTGGACCCTATACCTTCCCGAGTACCGGGGACTGACAACCAAGTGCCGGCGTAGAAGGTGGAAGCATCCCCTCATGAGGACGTCAAGGATGTAGGACGAGTACTCTTGGGGATATTCAAGGAGGAATAGAAAAATGACAAACTCCTCCCTCTGACTTCGATTGAACCTAACACTCCCCATCCTGTCTCAAAGATGTCACCCACCAGTTGTGAAGTGGAGGCTTCTCCTTCTACTTCTTCACCTCCGAAACCACCCCTGACGGCGGCTAAGTCGGTGACCTCCACCGAACATGAAAAAGTCATGGGGGTTGACACCTTGATGCCAAGAGTCACCTACACGGTAGACCATCAGAAGGTCCTGCACTTTCCTATTCCACTCCTCGAAGCAGCAGTTTCTCGGCAATCAGACAGCCAAATCCGCCGTAATCCAGACTCCCTGAGCATGAAGGAAAGCTCTTACCCGATTCAAGGGCTAGCCCATGTATGTGACTCTCTAAAGGTGTTGCACATCCTTGACTCTTTAGTAGTGGAGAAGCCAGAAGAGGAATCATCTCCTCGTTGTCAAGATCAAGCTACCCTTGCTAAGCTTAAAAAGGAAGTTCAAATCCTTCAAAGCCAATTGGAGGCCATCCATAAGGAGAAGGATAAAATACAAGAGGCCCCTCTAGTAGGGTTCGTCGAAGAGACCAAGGGCATGGGTGCAGGGCATCAAAATTGTCCCATCATCCGGAGGTCAAGTTCTCCCCCGATTGGAGTCTCTACATCCGGCATGCTCATCACATCATGAGGACGATCAAGTATGACCCTTTAATAAAAAAGGAGGTAATTTCTCCCTTCGAGGTAATTGAGAGCGCAGCTGCTCGGCATGAGTCGACGAAAGGAATTGGGTACTCTACCTCCTCTCATATCTCCCCGTAAAAAGATGGACACAACGAAAACCCAAAAGGGTGTTGTCGGTAAAATTGTCAGAATAAAGAAATGATGGAGCTTGATAGTGGTACTAGCTATTGTGAGCAAAAATTGTCAAGAAATAAAAGGACGGACATGGTGGAAACCCGAGAGGACATCATGGGCAAAAATGTCAAAGAAAAGAATAATGATGGGGCATGATAACATCATCAGTTATTATGAGTAAAAAATCATCAAGATAAAAAATGGGTACAATGATAACCCAAAAGGGCATTGTGAGTAAAAATAAAAATGAAAATGGTGGATGCGATGGAAAAGCCGCAGGCAAAATTGCCACCCAAAAGTTCAGGGGTCTCGTGAAAACCATAAATGGCGCATACCTT